TCAACCGACGTTTAGTTCAGTTTGAGCTGTGTCCACTTCGCGTTAGATTTACTGACTTTTACCAATAATAGATACTATCACTGTTACTCACTCACTCACCCAACACGCACTCACCCACCCACCTACCCACCCACCTACCGCAGTCTCAGAAATAGAAAAATTCAACATTGTCTATGGAAATGCTTGTAACACGTTTGAAAATAGAACTTTAGGGGTGAACCACTTGCTTTCAAACGCTTCTGGAACTGGCTCAGTAACATTAAGTGCCCAGGGGTTCCTCCGCTCTTGTTATAAACTTTTGCCCGAAAATATGAGTCCCGACCAGCTTCTCCTGGGTCTCCAAGGATGGTAACAGATGAAATGAAGCTCGATCACAACAAATTCTCTATGAAGTTAAAAGAAAACATTATTGACCCCTTTCATGCTTCAACTGCTAGATTGTTGTGGTGCAAGGGTATATGTATGTCCATATAGTAAGTCAAATTATTCTCGCATTTTGATTAGTTCTTACTAATTATTTATTGGAGGAGAGACAGATGACGTCATTAACATCTGTTTTAGTTTCTTCATTTTATAGAAAACAAGTAGATTCCATGTTGTCGTGCGTCTGTTCAGAAATAGATCACAGATGTCGTCAAAACGCGGTAAGAACATCAGTGACCAACTCGCCTAACGGCTTGTGTGCCACTTTTTTTTTCTTACCACATTTTGACGTCATGTTTGATCTATAACTAAACAGACGCATGACAGCATGGAATCTCTTTGTTAAGTTGATCATTGGGAAGCAATATACTTTCTGGCTAGAAATGTGTATCCATGTTTTATTCCTGTGCCGAAGCCTTTTTTATTCAGGTTCTGAGTAACCCACATTTACTTCTGCTGAACTTAATCAATATGGGTTCAAATTGATGTATATTTTGTGGCAGTGAAAACCAATAAATATGGCGACGTAGTGAGAAACATTTTGGCGCGCTTTTTTCTCTGTAAACCTCATTACAACTTGAAAAAAGCGTCTCTCATGAATGGAAGTGGTTGTTCTAAGAGGTCCTGATATCAAAGAAAGATATTTTTTAATGTTTATCTTAGCAGATTTTCTGAAGACCGGCATACACGATTTGAACGCGTTAACTGAAGTATTTAATAAGATCACCTTAAAGGACCTCTTCATGCTGAGAAAAATTCTATTCAGTTCACTTTGTTACAAGTAAAGAACACAAGTAGCTTAAACACTCGTGATTTCCACAAGTTTCTATTCTCCTGACATGAAAAAAAGCACCAAATGATGTAAAACATGTGGAAAACTCCTGATCTTGTGGTGTCAACACTTATTTTTTTTTTAATATCGATCATTTGTAGTTATCGACCATTTCTGGCTCGTCATCATGTTTAATAAAGAAAAAATGCGGCCATGTATGATATTTTATACCTCTGAAGTCCTCAATTTTGTTGACTCTTTAATTTAACAAAGAGGGATACAGACAATCAATGGGCGTACGCGTGACAACCAACTCACCCACCCCTTCCCCCAAACAGAATATAATCCTTAAAGTTATCCAACCGCATTCGTCTGAATCATGTAGAACTCATAAACGCAGGTTTCTAAAATCACATACACACTCAAAAAAGGTAAAAGGTAAGGTAAAGTCTGCATGCGAGCCAAGTGGCCCATCAGGCCGGAGCTTATCCCGGTTTCTGTAGCATGAAGCGACTAGGAGTATTTCTA